TGCAATAGCCAAGTAATGAAAATAGCCTAAGTGTGCAGGACAAAGAAGTGGATTAGGAAGATATGGTATATAAATATAATGTAATACTACCAAGCTTTTAAAAAAATGAATTATTGTCATTTGTGACAACATATATGGAACTGGAGGGGATAATGTTAAGCAAAATAAGTCAGAAGGAAAAAGACAAATACCAGATGATTTCATTCATATGGAATACAGAGAAACAAAACAAAGGGACAGAGAATGAACTCTGGAAATCTGACTGCAGGGCATCCCTGGTGGCGCAAGGAGTTAAGATGCAACCTATGAAGCTATCCGCAGCCACTGCAGTACAAGTTCAATCCCTGGCCAGAGAGCTACCCACATGGCACAGCAGACCTCTCCTGACTCACTCACTGCTCCCCTCAGCAGTGTATTTTAGTCAATCTGCCTATTCTGTTCCCCACTCTATCTCTGGTGAATCCTCTCAACCCCACCCCAACCCAGCACCTCTGGCCTGTACCCCAGTTCTTGTATGCATAAATAAATAAATCTTTTTTTAAAAAAAGAAATCTGACTGCAGAACTGAGGCTACAGAAGGAAAGGGTTGGGGTGAGGCGCAAAATTGGGAAGGGGGCCCAGTGGATTATGGTGGAAGATGACTGGTGCTTTCATGGAGGATGTGGTATAGTAACATACATCTGAAGAGGTGTGAACCTATACCCCTAAATCATACACAATATCATAAACCAAAATTGCCTCCATAAAAAATATTACAATTAAAAAAAATACCAATGAATTATTTTTTTAAGATTTTTTTATTTATACAAGTGCTGGGTACAGTCAGAAGCATGGGAGGGTGAGGCATTTCACCAGAGGCAGAGCGGAGAGCAGAGCAGAGCAGGCAGACTGATGAAGTACACTGCTGAGGGGAGCAGCGGGCAGAAGGAGAGGTCTGCGCGCCATGTGGGACCCTCGCCCAGCACCTGGGATCGAACTGGCGTTGCAGAGGCTGCGGGCAGCTTCACAGCTCAGTGCTCAACCGCTGCGCAACTGGGGAGGCCCCCCCAAAAAAATACAATTAAAAAAAAACTGACAAAGGGCGGAGAAGGAGTAAATCAAAGAGGAGAGTGAAAAAGAGATGGGAGAAAGCAAGGGCAGAAGGGAGGGAGAAAGGAATAAAACCACTAAAGGGAATAAGTTCTATTCTATTTTGGGTTTTAGTAGTTAGTCTCTGAAGTTGAAGGAATTTTTTTGTAGTAGGACATGTACTCGCAAATGAAACAATTCTTTTATTGTCATCTTAAGTAAGGAACATAAAGGTGCAAAGGACACCATGACTGCACTGACTGTTCTTTCTAAAATTGTGCTTCTTGTTTGATTTCTGAAAAATCTTTTAGTACAAAAAATGATCTATAACAGCACAGTTCTTCCTGTTTATTTTTTTGTACATGAATTACCATATCTTAGTATGGTAGAAAAATTATCTATTTTCTTAATTTTTTCTTTTTTAAATTTTGGTTTCATACCTCTTTTCTCTATATTTTAAAAAGAAAACGAAAATTCCAGTCAATAATCCATGTTTTCCATCATTCTATGGATAAATTATCATGAAGAAAAAAAACATGTAGATGAACAGTAACTTTTACCCACATTTGTGAATCTGAATTCATAATCTTCAATTAAATACAACTATCCTAAAGGTAGCAAGACCAATTTCTTTCATGAGAGTGTTAACTGTTTACATTATTACAATCCAAAACATGGGTTTAGTGTCTCAGTGGTGTTAAACAATGAATTTTCTTCATGAAAATGCTTCTACAGGGTTTGATTTGTTCTTGGATTTTCCAGACTAGTTCGCAATTTAGAATCTTAGATATTATTTAAATCAGATTCCAAAAAGTGTTACTATTAATGGATCAAAAGAGGATGTGAGTCACTAGAAATCTGTTGTTGATAATACAAATCTCACTTGTGTAACAAAAACAACATGGTAATATAAATGAATTGACTACAGAGTGCCTTCTTATAACCCAAGTCACAGTAACTAATCAATGTTTATTCATACACTTTAGTTACTTAACATATCCTTTACTAATTCCAAATTATACACCACAATTTCTAGACAGCTCATTTGTACACATATATTAATGTAATCAGAGAGAAAATTCATAAATTATACATTATAAGGAAGGCTCATGAAAATGTGCAATTGTATTCTAACAAGTCAGTTTGTATGTCAATAACAAAGGAGACCTGTAGAAAATTTGAAATTTGAAATAAAAAAAAATATTCCTTTGGTCAAACCTTAACCTTCCCTCAAATGTTAGCAGCTTACTAGCATACCTCTTGGGAAGTGCATCCTTATCCATTTGACATTACAATTTGCTATCAAACATTAGGAAATTCATGAATGTGCACGAAATATTTATTCTTTTTTTGCCCTGAGAGTTAATAATAATCCATAGGCATTTCATTTTCCCCTAGTGATTACTGGTAACTTGATATCACCTTAAGATAAATTTGATATCACCTTAAGAAGGTTGGACAGTTGCAACCTTAAGAAAGGTTGGACAGTTGCAAATGCTAAATTTCAGTATCACTTTGTAATTACAGCAACGTACAATTTTGAAAATAATGAACTGAAGTGATGAATAAAGATTCTAACTAGATTTTTTGTTAATAGCTAACATCTGCATCACCTAGGTTGAATTTATTTAAGAAAATATGAGGCTATCTACACACTAGTTAGGCTATCTCCCTACACATATGTATGCATGTGTATACTTTAATTGGGTAAAATATCAAATGCTGTAAAATTGAATGGGGAGGATGCAAAGAATCAGTTATTATTAGTAGAAATCCACTATGTTTTCCACAGTAATAAGCACCCATTCAAAGTTGATTAAAGTGACAGCACACTGACATGATGTGGCTATTAATTCCTTTTGAACAACACATTAAAGAAAAATTGCAAATTCACATGAAGCTCAGCACCCACCAGGGACCTCATATACTTGTTTCTCAGGCTTCAGTGAGCTTGTCTGTAAGCCTGGATGCACTAACTACATGCGTCTGCACAAGCTATTATGTAGAAAGATATCAATAAGAAAAAGAACCATAATTTTATTTATTGCCATGTTGGTTTCCTTCAATAAGCTTTGGCATTGTCACCTTTACGAAGGGAAAAACAAAACTTCCCTGCAAGTATTTATGTAAGGTCATTTGTGTGAGAAAAATAAACTCTATTTTAACCAGGAACAGAAAGCCATCTTATAGGTGGCAAGGTCTTTTCTTCTTCCTGCCCAAGACAAGAGCTGTTAAAACTGTCCTGGTGAAAATGGGATGCATCATTTCTATAAAGATTCATTTGTGTTTATGAATTTCCACACATAGGATTGCTCTTTCTCCAAATTCAGTCTTATCTTTCTTATTCTTTAAATTTAGATAAGAGGGCCTCCCCCGTGGCGCAGCGGTTGAGCGCTGGGTTGCGAAGCTGCCCGCAGCCTCTGCGGCGCCGGTTCGATCCCTGGCTGCTCCCCGGCCACAGGAGGAGGGTCCCACATGGCGCGCAGACCTCTCCTGCCGCCCACTGCTCCCCTCAGCAGTGTACTTCGGTCCTTCTGCCTGCTCTGCTCTCGCCCTCCCGTGCTTCTGACTGTACCCAGTGCATGTATAAACAAACAAACAAAACAAATAAATAAATAAATAAATAAAACATGCCTCTATTAAAAAAAAAAAAAAAAAACATTTAAAAAAAAAAAAATTTAGATAAGAAATTTCTCCCTTAACAAATCAAACTAGAGAGTAGATGATCTCCTTTTGATTTTTGTGTTATTTAAGGAATGTGTATTTTGCACTGATCATTCACTTTATATTTCATATTACAAAATATATAGAAAACACATTTTTCAAAGAATAATACCCAAGGAGATAATACAAAAGTATAGTTTATTGTAAAGAATTCTGAGCTATCAAACACTAGCTTCAGTCTTAGTTACTCATTTGATCTTCTACACTCTAGTCATTTAAAACCTCAGAACTAATTTTTGCAAGTATCTTTATTAATGTTTTTAATCAAAATTTGATTCTGTCCCAGTTACTCAGAAGGGAATTTTGAAAACAATAATATAAAAGGGTGGCAAATTAAATCACTGATCTAAGCAGAATTGAATTAAAATATGCACATATTTAACTCCACATGTATTATTAAGCTCATGGCTACTTTCAGCAGGTCAAATGGAAAACCCAACAATATCTTCATATTCAGTAGGAGATTAGATTTCAGATAATCTACTCACTCTCTTACATATACAATCATCCCTCAAAATAAAGAGCAGAATGTTTTTTTATTTGTGCTAAAGTTTATATTCTATACAATTGATATTATAATTTGTTTCCTGTTGATCACTTAGTGGGAAGAAAATAGAGAATAAGCAAAATAAATAAGTAAATAAATTACATATATAATAGTAAATATTTTGGAGAAAAATTAAATTCTCTGTATTGAATGCTAAGAAGAAGAAATGTGAGGGAGGTTGAGAACCACAGAAAATCCTACGAAAGAAACAGCCCTTTAAGAAAAAAACACCAGGAGCAGTGTTCAGGGTGCTTAGGAAAGCAGAGAGCACAGAGATGAGTGATAAGGACAATTTAAATCAGGACAGATAATAACACAGCTGCTATAGCTCAAAGCGTGTAGTGAAGATGGGATGACTCCAACATAACACTTCAAAAGAAAATCTGAGATATAGTGACTTACTGGGTAGAGGAAACAAACAGGAAGAGAAACAATAGGTCTTCGTGTTTTATATCTAAGACCAAGAAAATGGTGACATCAACATCATTTGCAAAGACAGTTTTAACAATAAGACAATCAACAGATTGGTTGTTTCCACTAACACCTAAGACAACTAAATGCTGAGTTTGTACTCAGTGTTCAGAGTTCAAAATTCCTCCAGTTCTTACAGTGATTATGAGCATTTCTGCTATATTTAAGTACATGCTTGGAAAGTGCTCACCTGTTTGCCACCAATGGTCCAGGACAGGTACTCTGAAAACCTTTTTGGACCATTCGAGTGTCTCTATATCACATCGCTCTCCGGCCACAAATAATGTCTTGAACCTGAATATAAAAGAGTAAATTCAAATCATTCATTGAAAATGAAGCTGAATGATTTTATCTACATGCTTGAAAACATTGTAGAATCTAACAACATTAATTACATCAAAGGAAAAACAGCCACATCACTACCTTATCATACTGTACAATCATGAGACCATTATTAGTTTTAATGCAAATGTAACCAAATGCATACTGCAGCATTGGTGTAAGATGTTTCAAAAGTAGAATTCACAGCTTCAGCTCAATTTTGAGAAGGGCAGTGAGTTAATCTTTGTAATATATCTGTCATATTAATCGAATGATCAAAAATGAAAAATCTTCCTGTCCTTGACATTAATTCTGCTAATTTTAGCTCCAAGTTTGATCCTGTATTCTACTTAAGACTATATCAAATTACATTCACAAGTATCAGCTAAGCAGCAAACATGACCATAAATATAATATAGTTGCCCCTTCTTGTGGTAAAGAATATTCTAATTTCAAATACATTTCTCCTATTCTAAATCTTATATAAGAAAAAGTAGCTTGTTAAAAAGTAAAATGCTATCATGGCATTCTAAGTTAAAAAGGTTCTTATAAAAAGGAATACAAGGCTATGAAGAGGTGAGGAATCTTTGTCAGGGAGCATTAGACACCCAATAGAGAAGATGAAATAGAAAATTAGGTTGTCATCGGTGATAGTTCATTAAGAGAATGACTGTTTATTCCATTCTCATGCCCCCATGACCTTTATGACAAAGGGGGAAAAAATATGTGTATGGAGACTTAATCATTATTATTCAATAAAAAAAATCAAACAATTAAATACCTGCCCAATCATCCTGAACAATGTTTCCTACCATACTTTAAGTTATCGCGTTATCTCGTGAAAATTTAAGGAGATTCAAATACTTTCACCTCTATACTTCAACCACATGCTGCTCCTGTCTCTACTATCAACATGTATCTCTTTCTATAATTCCTTGTTTCTTGTCTATTTCCCACAATGGATTATGAGTTCCTTAGTAGCATTCATCTTGATGACCTCAATACCAAACAATTATTCTGGTACTTGGGACTTTTGGGTACTTAAAAACCTGAAAGGGGGTCCTCCCTGGTTGTACAAGAGGTTAACGCTCAGCACTATGAAGCTATCAGCAGCCACTGAGGTATGAGTTAGATCCTTGACACACATGGCACAGCGCAGCAGACATCTCCTGTCTTGCCTGCTACTCCCCTCAGCAGTGTATTTTTGTCAGTCTACCTGTTCTTCTCCCCACTCTATCTCTGGTGAATCCTCTCACATCACCACCCCCCATGCACCTCTGGCCTACACCCCAACTCCTGTATGCATAAATAAATAAATCTTTAAAAAAAACTTGAAAGGTAAAGTATAGAAGTGGGGAGTTGGAAATTTCATTTCAGTTAATTTATTCTTTTAAGTAAAAGAGGAGGCATGTTGTTTTGCAAGAGTGTAGAAATTGACAAAAGAAGAATGATTTGAAAAGAGAAAAGTTCTGGCTATTTAAGGAAAGTTTGAGTTTCATAATAGTGAAAGAACTAAAGAGCAGACACTGGCTTTCATGAACTCAATTAGCAGTCTAGGGGGCTCAGTAGGGATAGTAAGTTGAATGTATGAAACCTACTTTGATTCAAACAAGGTCTATCTTGTCTCTTCTGGCCAGGTTGAGACTTCAACATACTCATGAGAAATGTATTTACTTCTAAATGTTTAACACAGGAGACATGAAACAATAACAATATCTGAAGTAGTAAAGGGGGGAGTGATTCATGATAATGAGACCTGTATACTCTCCCTGAATTCCTTATGAAATTATTTGACTCAAATAAAACTGAAAATGAAGGAAAAGGGAAAAAGAAACAGTAATGCTTTCATATTAATTTTAGTTCAAAATAGATAAGAAGCTTCATAGAAATGGATAAAAAGCTAAAGATCAATTCTGGGAAGACTTTTCAGGTAATAAAGTAAGGGCAGAAGAAAAATAAAGTGACTTTTTCAAGGCTCATAAGTTACCAAACAAGTGAAAATTACTCTTCATTGTGCCAACAGAAGTTAAATAAAAATCGATTATTTCAGTGATGCCTCATCGACTTCCAGTTCACATGACAGAATATCATTATAATTTGCCATTTATGTCCCTATGGTTATCTCCATCTTTCCTTTATTCTACTTTCTTCTCCTTGTTCTCTACCAGAATTCACTCTCAAAATGTAAACACGGCCATGTTAATATTATGCATGAATTTGACTTCTGTCAATGACTGACTAGCATTTTGCAGCAAGATTATATTAATCTGTCTCTCAAGTATAAGGAGGAAAGCTGAACAAAATGTAAAAAAGAAACATGTCTTAAAGGTATTGAAAATTAACAGGGCAATGAGCAGTTTAGACATTAAGATTCCAAAAAGTAAAATGTACAGAGAAGAAAGTCTGACATTAATTTGCCACTTTTCCTACTTTGAGATATTTGTCAAGACAAACATTGGTAGGAAAACTGACAAAACGAACAAAAGCTGTGTTGGAGAGACTTGGAAAATGAACAATCCTTTTTTAGCCATCACAATTTCTTGGGAAAGAAAAATTGGAGTTCAACACCCACAATATTTAAAGAGTTTTGTAAAACATCGAAGCTTTCAATGGCAGAATGAAAGTGATCCCAACAACAGAGAAAAACCAGAAAGAAACTTTTCAAATATCAAAGTCTAGCTGCAAATCAACTAGATCTCTAGCTGGATCAATGTGATCTTCCTTTATGTTAATGATCCGCCAAAATAAAGATTATTCTATGGGACTGTAAGAACATCCAGAGTCTCAAAGTAACTATATTAATTTTTCACACGCAATGGTCTATTGGGAAAACAGCTCATATGACAGAAGAAAGAAAAGAGATATTAGAAAACATCCACACACGGGCCTCCCCTGGTGGCGCAGCAGTTAAGCGCTGGGCTGCAAAGCTGCCCACAGCCTCTGCAGCGCCGGTTCGATCCCCAGCCACCGGGCGAGGGTCCCACATGGCGCACAGACCTCTCCTGCTGCCCGCTGCTCCCCTCAGCAGTGTACTTCGTCAGTCTGCCTGTTCTGTTCTCCACTCTGGCTCTGGTGAATTCTCTCACCCTCCCGTGCTTCTGACTGTACCCAGTGCTTGTATAAATAAATAAATAAATAAATAAATCTTTAAAAAGAAAACATCCACACAGAAAGCCAGGTAATTTTGTTATCAGACAGTGACTTCAAAATACCTTTGAAGACTATGTACGTGAACTAATGACTGATGCCAAAAAAGGAATAGGATATCATAATAAAGAATCAAATAGAAATTTTTAAGCCAAAAAAGTAAACTTAAAAATGGAAAGGCTAGATACTGCTGTAGAGAAGACTGAAGATCCAAAATACAGATTTAGGGCCTCCCCTGGTGGTGCAGTAGTTGAGCGCTGGGCTGCAAAGCTGCCCGCAGCCTCTGCAGCGCTGGTTTGAACCCAGGTCACTGGCGAGGGTCCTACATGGTGCACAGACCTCTCCTGCCACTACCACTGCTCCCCTCAGCAGTGTCCTCCGTCTGTCTGCCTGTTCTGTTCCCCGCTCTGGCTCTGGTGAATTCTCTCACCCTCCTGCGCTTCTGACTGTACCCAGTGCTTGTATAAATAAATAAATAAATCTTTAAAAAAAATTTTAAAAATACATATAGATTTAAAGAAAATAATCCAATTTCAACTGCAAAGAATAAAGGAGAAAAGATATAGTATAGCTATGGTAAATAGTTCTAACACATGTGTCATTAAATTGTCAAAACCAAAGAAGAGAGCATAAGGTAAAAGCTACATTTGAAGAGATAATAGATAATATATTTCCAAAACTAATGGAAGTCATCTAGTCACACATTGAAGCAGGTTGAACCACAAGAAATTTAACCCATAATTCAAAGCTTTCCAATATGTAAACTCTGGACAAGATAGATTCATTTATAAATACTTCAAACCAGTTTTCAAATAACATCAGTTTTACATAGCTCTTCCACAAATAAAGAAGAGAAAACACTTTCAAAATCTTTTTATGGGACCAGCATAACCTTGCAAACAAAATCTCTGACACTACTAGAAAGGAAAATCTGAAAACACTATGTATCATGAATATAGATTTTAAAGTCCTCAATATTAGGCGTAATGGAAGGGTTTTAAGTGGAGGACATTTAGATCAGTAAAAATATGATGAAGTAATGGATGCACGTCATTGTACTTTGGTCTACCTTCCAGGGTAGGTAGTCATACCCCTGCCCTTCCTCAAGCTCTGCTGTGGCTCTGATCTCCAGTCTCCGTGAATGAAGCAGGAACTGGGAGTCGGGAGTCCCTATCATGCCGCCAGTGTCTGCATGTGCACAGCAAACCTTGCAAATGTCTGACTTCAGCCTCAATTACCATTGCAAATGTATTCCACTTCCAGTTCTACAAAATGTTTATTTTAAATTCGGGTCTGAAACTCTGTTTTTTCTTTCTTTTGTAGTATCCTTCATTTTTATGTAATGGGGCGGGGGGAGGGGAGACTGCATCAAAGTATGGAGTACAGTGATATTTTATTTATTTATTTTTTCAAGATTTATTTATTTGTTATACAAGAACCGAGGTACAGGCCAGATGTGGGGGAGAGTAAGAGGATTCACCAGAGACAGAGCAGGGAACAGCACAGGCAGACTGACTGAAATATACTGCTGAGGGGAGCAGCAAGCGAGACAGGGGAGGTCTGCCGTGCCATGTGGGTATCTCTGCAGCCGGCAGAGATGGAACCCGCATTGCAGAGGCAGAGGACAGCTTCACAGCACTGCGCTCAACCACCTGCACCACCAGGGAGGCCCCCTACAGTGATATTTTAAATGGAAGTCCCAGAACTGAATTTTTTTTCTAACTTAATTAAAATTGAACAGAAGATATTGAGTCAATCAATTTGTATGATGGCATTAAAAAAAAAAAAAGAAGCAGTGATTTAGAAAGCAGAAGATAATCATAGCTAAAAGAGTTTATAAGAATAATTGTTTCAAGGAATTTGCCTGGATTATGCACCTCTTATTCTCATTATATTCTTGTATTTTTACTATCTGTATGTCCCACAAAAAAAAAAAAAAAAAACTAAATAAAACCAGACAACTGTGTAACGTACATGAGGTTACAGTCAGCAGATTGTAGATCTGAACCCAGGGAATCTAATTCCAGAGTGAGAATCTTTATTTCTATACCATACTTCCTAGTCTCAATTTTGCCCTAGAATAGTTTTGTAATCCTGAGAATGTTATTTTACCTCTGTGACAAGGTTTTCTCAACTGTGAAATGAGATGATTACACTAGATGAATTCTAATCTACTTTTCCAGATTTTAGACATCTATGATAAAATGAATTTATAGTCCTAGTTAGTTCCCTATTTTAGAGTATACACTTAAATTTGCTGAGGGAGCTGGGATTTTTGGCAAGTCCTCAATTTATTTTAAAGCAATATTTATAACATCTTTTTTTAAGAAAAAAGTCATTTGAAAGGTTGTGTAAAAGAGTAGCAAACTGCAAATAAATCATAAACTTGCAATTATATCTAGTGAATATCAATTCACTCAGTATGAAACATTTTGAATCTAAATATGAAACTAAAGGCATAATTGTATGAGAAGACTTGAGTTCTTTATTCTGTCTCTAATCCAAACCTAACTCGTCTGGGCTTCAGTGTTCATGTTTTTAAAAATGTGATAGTTGGGGCTCCCCTGGTGGCATAGGCGGTAGAGCACAGCAGTGTGAAGCTGTCCTCAGCCTCTGCAGCACCGGTTCGATCCCGACTGGTCTGCGAGATTTCTACATGGCACAGCAGACCTCTCTTGTCTCGCCCGCTGCTCCCCTCAGCAGTGTATTCTTGTTCTGTTCCCCGCTCTGTCTCTGGTGAATCCTCTCACCCTCCCGTGCATGTGGCCTGTACCCTGGTTCTTGTATAAATAAGTAAATAAATATATAAATAAATAAACGTTTAAAAAATAAAATAAAATGTGATAGTTGAATTCTGGAGGTGTCTTTTGTTTCTAGCATTCTGTTAGTCCAAAAGTTGAGAATCTCCTACAATAGTCCAGTGAAGACATTATTTGAATGGATGAAAAATATGTAAAAAGCAAAAACTACTTTCATGCTATGAATGACAAAACCCCCTAGGTCAAGCTGGCCCTTGAGTTTCCCCTCATAGGAAGAATGAGTCAGCGTTTTTAATTAAGACTTTAGTTTTTAAAGTTTTTAGTTTTTAATTAAGAGTTTAGACATAGGTCAGAATGCCAAGCTAGTTTCCATGTAAATAGTTCAACTATCTGTTCCTAACTTGACTCATTTGCAAAATGAGGATAATTACAAGTGCTACAAATCCACAATTTTTGATGACTAAATGAGATAACAAACTTAAATTGCTTGTGCCTGGCACATAAGAGGTGATCGGTGAGAGTCTGCATTTATTAATAGCAGTAATTTGAATAATTGAGGGTGTTTATAGTGTTTATATCCTTGCACCATTATGAATAACTCAGGTATCTAAAGATAGAAGGGTGTGATTAGGAAAGCGTATTGCACTTTCTCTAATGCTAAAACCTCATACTCTGTTTCTAAAGGAATTAGCTTGAAAAGATGATATACTATAAATTCAGTATTATTTGATGCTTTATACATTATGCAAAATGGCTACTGCCTTCACAGTAAAGTATAATATCTAAAACCTCATATATAGATGGAAACAAGAAGATGATGCAGCAAAGAGACCTTGGCTTGCTGATCAAACAACTTCATGTCCTGAGTTTGGAATGCACTTGTCATACAAGGAACTTGTCACTGTTTCTTCAAAATTCCTGGAATTGTCTTAGGATATGGAGATGTCATATAGCCTAAGATGATTTTACCTTTTGGCTGAATTGGAAAACACTAAGTAGAACTGTAGTAAAGGAAGGAAGGAGAGAGGGTGAGCAGTAATATTATAAAGGAAGATTCACTTCATGAATTTTTTTTATTTTAATAAGAGTATATTCTTTATATAATAGAAAAAAATTGGAAATCCAGATTTTTTTTTATATAGTAAAAAATAAAGGGAAAAAAAAATCAAATAAACAAAGCCAGTGACCTGCACGAGTTGAAAGCTCTTTGCTGACATGTGCCACTGGATTAAGATGTGTATTTGAAGTCCTTCTTTGGAGCATAACAACATAAAATTTATGAATCTATCATATAACTTAAAAAGTTCAAATCAACTTAAAATCAAACCTACTTTTTGACTTGAAGAAATTACAAAATCTCTTCACTTAGTTTATGGCGGCAGTAACCAAATTCAAAGAGGTTCAATGAGAATTGATGCTGGAAACTGCCTTGAAGTTATAAATTGATATAAATTTCCTTGAAAATACATATCAATCAGCTAAATGGAATGTCAATAAATGAGCATAAAATACCTAAATTATTCAGAAGATAATGTCACAAAAAAACAGAAAAAAATTTCCTTACTATTTCAACAAAGGTAATTTGTTGACTATAATTTTCACCTTAACCACATATACGAAAACAATTTTTTCCCACTATTTAAACCACTTTATTTTCAAAAGGCAGCTAGATGCTATCATCCTGTTGTATATCTATAAACTTATGTAGTAAACTTGTAACACTTGCATATTTATATACATATATACATACATACAAATTGAATTGAAATATGCAAAATATGGTATTTTAAATCTTTAAAAATCTATTGTTTAGCTAAGATTCCAACTATTTCAAAGATATATTTAGAACAGTCATTCTTAATAACATTCAGAATATTTTGGCTCTATCCACAGTGGTATTCCAATGCCAGAAAAAATACAGAATGTTGAGTTATTCATTCTGATTGCAGTTTTTAATGTAATTTGCTCTGTGCATCTCGAGTTCACCTTGTCAGAGAGTACTGCTTCCCCAAGGCTGCCCCAGGGTCCTGTTGACGGATTGCTCTAATTGCAGTTGGCGCTGTAAACAAGGCAGCGACTCCATGCTCCGCCAGCACACGGAAATAAGCACTAGCATCTGGTGTTCCCACAGGCTTCCCCTACAATGAGATTCATTTATAATGTCACTTGGTAAAATGTCTCATAGTTCATTGACAGTTCAATACTTACACATTTTTACACATTGATATTAATAAAATGGGGTTCTCAATAAATATTATTTTTTAAATACTCTACCATAAATAAAACAAATAACATGTGCAGGCATAAGAGGTCAATTGCTCCAAGATGGAATCCTTAAAGCTTTTCAAATAGCAATTTTTCCTCTCTTAAGTTTTGAAAGATAAAGGACAGGAAATATACATTATATTCAAATTAATGACACAAGACAGTCTCCTACTTGCCAAGAAATTAAATGTATTATTTTGTGGGGTGAATGACACGACAGATATGGTTGCTATGAATTTCTAACACCAACACTTTTTTTTCATAATCACTATTAAAAGTTATAATCTCACAAGGGAATATGGTAATAGTTCATGGGTGCTACAGTGGTGGGAGAACTATGGGGACTACAATGATGGAAGAAACAAATTTAATTAATTAAAAATAAATAAAATTAAAGTTATAATTTCAAATCAAATAAAACTTTACAAAATATTTGAAACTAATGGAACAGAATTGTGAGTCCAGAAGTAAACACACATAGCTACTAACTGTTAATCTATAATTAAGAAGCTAAGAGTATACCAAGAAGAGAGGGGAGTCAATTACAAAAATAGTGTTGGGAAAACAGTACAGGCTCATGCAAAATAATGAAAATAATCACCACCTCACATCTTCCAAAAAGTCACTCAAAATGTATTAAAAACATGAATTTAAGACATAAAGTCATTAATACATTAAAAAAAACATAGGTCAAACCCCACTACACTGGCATTGAACATGTCTTTGTGGACTTATCGCCAATGTCAAGAGAAAGAAAAGTAAATAAAAGCTAAAGGACTAAATCAAAGCAAAAAGCTTATACACAGTGAAAGAAACTATCAGTAAAACAAGACACCAAACTAAATGGGAGAAAATATTTGCACATCATAAATCTGACAAAGGGTTGATATACAAATAACTCACACAACTCAACAAAAAGAAAACTAATACCCCAATCAAAAAATGGGCAGCAGAGCTAAACAGACACTTCTTCAAAGAAGACATATAGATGGCCAACAGGCACATGTAAAGATGCTCACCATCACTTATTGTCAGGGAGATGCAAATTAAAACCACAATGAGATACCATCTCATGCCTGTGAGAGCAGAAATAAGGGTTGGCAAGGAACTGTTGGGGGCAATATATACTGCTCCAGCCTTGTTTGAAACAGTGTGGAGGTTTCCCAAAATATTAATGTCCATTTCAATAGATAGAGCAATCCACTCCTACTGCAGCTATCCAAAGAGTGAAAAAACACTAACTCCAAGGGATATTTACACTCATTACACTCATTTACACTCAATAGTTCATTGCAAAACTATTTACAATAGTCAAGTTATGGAAACAACCTAAGCACCCAAGGATAGAGTAGTAGATTAGGAAGACGTGATAGATAGATAGATAGATAGATAGATAGATAGATAGATAGATAGATAGATAGATAGATAGATGTGTTTTATATATATATATATATGTGTCTTATATATATATATATATATACACGCACACACAATGGAATACTACTTAGCTATAGAAAATGATGACTTGCTATTTGCAGCAACATGGATGGAACTAAAGGGGATAACACTAAGTGAAATAAAGGCAGGAGAACGACATATATTGGATGGGTTTACTCAAATGGGGAATAGAGTGAAACAAAACAAAGGGTCAGACAAAATTAAACCAATAAAAAACCCTAGAAATCTGACTATGGAATTGAGGCTGTAAAATTGAGGAGGTGGGGAAGTAAGGAGGGGAAACGATTGACTATGCTGGAGAACTGTGGATGCCACGGTGGTGGTGGGTGTGGTGTGGTGACGAGCTTCTATCTGTGGAGATGTGATCCTCTGATTGAATCACATGCAATTTTGTAAACCAATGTTACCTCAATAAAAAAAAAAGAAAATAAATTAATAAATAGGAATATATAACTGTTTCCTTAAGATAATCAAATGCATTTCTCTCAAAACAGAAGTCAGTACCTAGGGAAATACCAAAAGAATTCCAAAATAGAATTTGGCAACACATATCCATAATTTGACTCACAAGTTTTGAAGCTTTGAGCACATCAGTGTAAACCAGCAATAATGCAAACCAGCATTACGTCAATAAATAAATAAATAAAAAGAATCAGCCACTTTCTTTCTCATAGCTATGCAAATAGTTGACTTTCATTTCTTTGATTTGTCTTAGGCACTCATTTGTCCTTAGTGTTCTTGGTTGTGACTTGCAAAATTTGATCTCATACACTTAAAAATGATTTATTAATTGACCTCTTGCAACTGACTGCCCTGTCTATGCTTCCATTTTCTTTCTTTCTGCTAAGTAAGTATAAATCACTTTCCCAGTGTTTTCTCAATAAACTAAAAGTGCTGAGATATTGAAAGTAATTTGACCTCCACTGAAGAAAGATATTTTATAGACAATTGGAGTTGAATTCCACCACAGTCCCAGTATCATGGAAAGTGATAATATGCTAACTAAAGGGTGATATTAGCAGTATAATAAAATGCTATCCCATGACTACCTACACAGAGGGCACAATTTGATGTACTTATACAGTGTCTTCAATGAACTACATCTGGTAATAACAATGCAATTTAAGTATTAAACATATTAGTTAAAATGTGTACCATGTTTTTTATAAATAATATAACCTTATAACTACTTTAGTAATTCTGACCCTGCACCAAACAAATTTCCATCAATATTGTATTTATTGAGCATAAAAATCATGACAAGATAGTATTACTATGAGGACACTTAAAGAAATGATGCATAAAAGCTCACAATATTCTTCTGAAGTTAATAGAACTTAGAAAGGTTCAGTTGTTTTGCATTTTATTGTTCATTCCCACAAGAACAGTCAGAGCTATGAATATGATGATTTCCTAATTTAACAATACTTTAATATTTATATATTTAACTTTTTTATATTCTAGGAATTCTACTTGACCTCAAATTTTAATTAAAACATTATGATGTATCAAAGAAAGTATTGTTCCTCCAAACAGCCTGCTGATTAACATAAACATTAATTCAGATGATGCTAACACTTCCTGCAATATAACACACCACAGAAAAAGATCTTTCATCAGAGACCATTGTTCACATATAAACAAATCATAAAAATTAGACGTTTATTACATTCATTTAATAAGTATTACTGAGCATCTACTATGGGCTAGGTACTGTTCTAAATTCTGGGAATAATTTCATAAACAAGCCAGGTAAGACACTGCTCCAGTGGAATTTACTTTCTAGTAATTATTAGTATGTGTGTGTGTTAGTCCAAATATTATTTAAAATTACAGAGCACATGCTGTAAGTTTTTTGTGTCTAATAAAGGGAAATAATAAACATAGGACCTGTATGTTTTCAGCTTCTCTCACCACGAGTGGCTTCAGAAAACTGAAGCAAAGCCTATAAGCTTCTTTTATTATATGAAATAAAAGTGAACTGATAACTTATTGATTTTATAGGACACTTTTTCTCCTGCCCTCCTGCACAGACAGACAAGAATGCACACACAGGCAATATAATCTCTTTACAGTGTTTTAACAAAATAAGCAGCAACACACTAATATTTCAAGGTGCTTGAAGAAAGTGACACTGACTTCAGAATATGCATATTCAGTAAGGAAAAATAGCCTAAATAACCACCACTTTAAAAATAAAAAGATTTTAGGAATTTTTAACAAAAATGCACACACCAAAAGCAGTACGGAGTTCAAAGTTAACAATAATTTGAGAATCTTCAAAATTCAAACCATATTTCCAGTCTTTGCTTTGTCCCCTTGATTCCCCAGACTAAAGTCTATACTGTTGGTTGATGCCCAGATAACAAGGCAGAAAGCAATCCCTATAAGGGTGAAGTGGTGATGTAAGCTTTTGGCTACTATGTTTTCTAACATCAGGGATTTATGAAATAGCAACTGTTAATATTAATAATTGGTAAGCACTGATGCAAAGCACAGAAACCAAGACAGCTACCAAATATCTTAAAATTAACTTAACTGTAAAGTTTCCTACCACTTATGATTCATGGTGCTAGTATTAACAGCCTGCAAATGACAAGTCCTGAATTAGAAAACCAGTTAATGTCCTGACTTTTCGCACCATTTCTCCTGAGGTTAAGACTTCAGCACAGGAAAGTAGAGAAATCGAGGAACTTTGGAAAACAGAGATACACTGAAATACTAGAATTAAATTTTTGAGCAAAAAAAAAATATATCTCATGTATGTATCTGCTTTATTTTTAATCTAATGATTTCCATTTTTCCAAAAATATGGTCAAGGTTACTTGTGGTTCTCAGTCTTCGACAGACAGTTTTTGAGTCAACTGCAGTTTTGTTTCATTTTGTGGAAGGCTTAGAATACATCTGGTCTCTTTTTGAACTCTACATCTAAGAAGATCACCGAAGGCATGTTTCCACTGCAGTTGTAAGGTGAAGGCAGCATACCCCTTATGAGCTGGTTGTGAATTTCATGTCAGCAGACAGAAGCTGCAGTGTTGCCTTGTTTATTTTGGAAGGACAAAATTGACAATAGCATTTAATGAGTTCCTGTTGTCTCATGCCTTTCAAGAATGAGAGTTTGAGGTTCAAACCTTAATCTTGAGATTGTTAAAAAGGTAACGATTTACGATTTCTTCAGGAGATACTATTTAGTGGTGGGGGGGAAGCAAAATGCAGAAGAGTGTGCCTGCCATTTGTCCAATACCATTTATAATTTTAAAAAGGGGGAAAACTGTTCATACTATTGTGCAGGTAAGATTGACTGCTTCCAGTTGAGAGAAAATGGACAGTTGGGACAGGGAACCGTGATTTTTGCAATATGAACAAAATCAGTGTGTAACTTATGTCAAAAAAAGGTTTTTTTTTCCTCCCTAAT